GGGAGAGGGTGGAAGAATATCAAGTAACAGCCGAAGAAAATCAACTCTGGCCAGAGAAGTGAGCCAGGGATGGTGGAAAACTGCCTTCTTGATCGCTCAGGGGGCATATGGAAAAGGAATGTATTGTTGACTTATTTCATGGAATTTTTAGTGAATCAATTAGATATCTGAACCAGGAGAGGAAGGGGGCTGCCCAAGACAGAAGCTGGGACGTGGATGATACCAACATGGGTTACAGGAAAGTTTGACTTAGATCAGCACTGTGGTGCCAAGTTCCCTTGGCTGATTTCTCCACCTCTGTACCCCTAGGCCTTCGGTCCCTGTCTCTCCTGGGTGACTCCGTCTTTGGTGCCTATGGAGCCAGCTGCTTCATTGAACTTCTTCCTGCCACACTCCCTTCTCATCTTCCTTCTCCTCAGCTTATTTGCACTGGGCTCAGGTAGGGGCTTATGCCACTTGCTCTTATCAGTTTCTCGGAAAAGAAATCAATATTTCAGTCTTCAAAGAGGAAGAATAGAGTAGGAGTGTGCAATTGTGTTCACTCATCATTTCATTCTGCACATGTTCACCGAGTTTATTCCAGCGCTGTCCAATAGAAATATAATGAGAGCCACACATGCAAACCACATATGTAATTTAAAATTTTCTAGTCTTTTCATTCAAAAAAGTGTCCTTGGGTGGACAAACAGTTAACATGCTTAGCTGTTAACCAAAAGGTTGGAGGTTCAAGTCCATCCAAAGGTGCCCAGGAAGAAAGGCCTGGTGCTCTACTTCCAAAAATCAGCCATTTGAAAACTCTATGGAGCACAGTTCTGCACAGTTCTACTCCGATACACATGGGGTTGCCATGAATGGAATAGACTCCAGGGCAAATGGTTAACTGGTACACTCAAAAAAGTAAAAACAGATTAAATAAATTTTAATAGCATGTTTGATCTAACCTAAAATGTCCAGAATATTATTATTTCAACATTTAATTGACATAAAAATTACTAATGAGATCTTTGACTTTTTTTTTTTTTGTTAAATACTAAGTCTGAAATTTTGTGTGTATTTTACACTTACAACACATTTCATTTGGGGCTAGCTAGTGGCTTCCATATTAGAAAGCTCAAGCGTATACTACATTCCAGGCACAGTACTAGAGTGGGAAGAGAGGAACAACCCCTTGTGAGCACAGGGTTTATAGGAGGTGCTCTGTGCATGCTCCTCAATGTCTCATTCACAAGGCACTCATAGCCTCTTTATCATACCCTTTCCAGGAGAGTGGTGCCGACCACCCACAGCTCATGGCCCCTAGAGTCCTCAGCCCAGGAGGTCCCTGTGTCCTTAGCAATTGTGAATTTGTCTGTCCCCCGGAATAGCCACTTCCTTTCCCAACTTAGATATTTGATGGCTGTTGCCCCTCTCTGATTCTACACCTTTGTTGAACAGCCCAGTTTACTGTCATGGGGCCAGCTGATCCCGTCCTGGTTATGGTGGGAGAAAATAGCACATTACATTGCCACCTGTCACCAGAGAAAAATGCTGAGAACATGGAGGTACGGTGGTTCCGGTCTCAGTTCTCCCCTGCCGTGTTCGTGTATAAGGGCGGGCGAGAGAGAACAGAAGAGCAGATGGAGGCGTACCAAGGAAGAACAACCTTTGTGAGCAATGATATCAACAAAGGGAGAGTGGCACTGATCATTCACAACATCACAGCCCACGAAAACGGCATCTACCACTGTTACTTCCAAGAAGACAGGTCGTATGATCAGGCCATCATGCGCCTGATGGTGGCAGGTAAGTCACTTCGTTTTGTTTGGTAGCTTTTTCACAGTGTGACTCTTAGGGAAATGTATCTCTCCTAAATTAGGCCCATTGCAGACCAGTGGGTTTTTGCCCGGAATCCACTTTAAACAAGGAGGATGGCTTCTTCCTGCTCAAGGGCCAAATGAGTGAGTTTGCTCTACCAAATTGTGGGCATCACTTTTTTAGAAGCACATACATGGAGCTCAGTGAGCCCTTGAGTAGGGGAGAATGTTTAATTCCTCCAGATCAGTCCTACACCTACTTCTTAAAGATATCTAAGGCTCTTCCACAGTAACATTTAAGAGTTAATTGGACATTTTAATTGTGAAATATAATACACATACAGAAAAATTCATAAAATATTAATGTATAGCCTACTGAATTATTGTGAAGTGTAACCCATGTAACCACTACTCAGGTCAACAAATAGAACGCTGCCTTCTTCTTCTTCTCAATCAGAAACCCTTGCCTCTCCCCACTGAGGAGTGTCTGGGTGTTGTAAAGGATTAAGTGCTCAACTACTAGGTGAAAGGTTGACAATTCAAACCCACCCAAAGGTTTCTCAGGAGACAGGCCTGGCAATCTGCTTCTAAAAGGTCACAGCCTTGAAAACCCTATGGAACAATTCTACTCTACACACATGGGGGTCCATGAGTCGGAACTGACTCTATGGCAACTATCAACAACAGGTACCTAGAACTTTGCTGTTCACCATAGCAGAGGGAAAGAGAGCATAGCAAATCACTCATTGGCTCTTAAATCTTCTGCCTGAGAGGTGACACACGTTATTTATGCTCAAATTCCATTGGCCAAAGCAAGTTACATGGTTACACCTAACTACAGAGGAGTGGAAGTACAATCCTACCTATCAGATGAAGTTGAGTAGACATCACTAAATAGCACTTTTTTGGACTTTTGTTAGTACACATGCTTTTAAAAGCAGTATGGCCCACATCACAATCAGAACCAATCAGGATCTGACCAACACCAGCAGTTATTCACTACTGTATCTCCTCTGGGTGGTGCAAACAGTTAACATGCTCAGCTGCTAACTGAAAGGTTGAAGGTTCAAGTTTACACAGGACCGCTGAAGAAACGCCTGGCGATCTACTTCAACAAAATCAGCCATTGGAAACCTTCTGGAGCACAGTTCTCCTCTGACACACATGAGGTCACCGTAAGTCAGAATCAACTTGACAGCAGTTGGGATATTGGGTATCTTCAGCATCTAGTGAATTGCTTGACACTTAGTAGGTACTTAACAAATAGTTGTTAAATGAATATGTGAAAAAAATGAATTACTGACATAAAATTTTAGAAAGAGAAAAATTTGTCCTTAAACTCCTTCTCATAACTGACATCCATAAATTTATTCAAGAAATACTTAACAAGCATCTGTGTTTGAGGCACCGATCTAGAAACCGAGGATAAATCAGTGAACAAAATACATGAAGATCCCTGCCCTCCTGGAGTTCACATTCTAGAGCGTGCAGAAAGCAATAAATGAAATAATTAAGTAAAATGCTATTAATTAAGTAATATTATATCAGAGGTCCCTGGGTGACGCAAATGGTTTGCCCTCATCTACTAACCTAACCCTCACAGGTCGGACAGTTTGTTGTGCTGTGAGGGCTTGTGTGTTTCTGTGATGCTGGAAGCTATGCCACCAGTATTCAAATACCAATGGGGTCACCTATGGTGGACAGGTTTCAGCTGAGCTTCCAGACTAAGACAGACTAGGAAGAAGGACCTGGCAGTCTACTTCTGAAAAGAATTAGCTGGTGAAACCTTATGAATAGCAGTGAAACATTGTCTGATATAGTGCCAGAAAATGAGCCTCTCAGGTTGGAAGGCACTCAAAAGACGACTGGGGAAGAGCTGCCTCCTCAAAGTAAAGTCAACCTTAATGAGGTGGATGGAGTCAAGCTTTCGGGACCTTCATTTGCTGTTGTGGCATGACTCAAAATGAGAAGAAACAACTGCAAACATACGTTAATAATAGGAACATGGAATGTACGAAGTATGAATCTAGGAAAATTGGAAATGGTAAAAAATGAAATGGAACGCATAAAGATCAATATCCTCGGCATTAGTGAGCTGAAATGGACTGGTACTGGCCATTTTGAATTGGACAATCATATGGTCTACTATGCCAGGAATGACAACTTGAAGAGTAATAGCATTGCATTCATCATCAAAAAGAACATTTCATGATCTATCCTGAAGTACAATGCTGTGAGTGATAGGAAAATATCCATACGCCTACAAGGAAGGCCAGTTAACATGCGACTATTATTCAAATTTACGCACCAACCACTAAGGCCAAAGATGAAGAAATTGAAGATTTTTACCAGCTTCTGCATTCTGAAATTGATAACATGCAGTCAGGATGCATTGATAATTACCGATGATTGGAATGCAAAAGTTGGAAACAAAGAAGAAGGATTGGTAGTTGGAAAATATGGCCTTGGTGATGGAAAAAATGCTGGAGATCACATGATAGAATTTTGCAAGACCAACGATTTCGTCATTGGACCTCACCAGATGGAATACACAGGAATCAAGTCGACTACATCTGTGGAAAGAGACAATCGAAAAGTTCAGTATCATCAGTCAGAACAAGGCCAGGGGCTGACCATGGAACAGGCCATCAATTGCTCATATGCAAGTCCAAGTTGAAGCTGAAGAAAATTAGAACAAGCCTATGAGAGCTAAAGTACGACCTTGAGTATATCCCACCTGAATTTAGAGACCATCTCAAAAATAGATTTGACGCATTGAACACTAATGACCAAAGACCAGACGAACAGTGGAATGACATCAAAGATGAGAGCAAGAGGTCATTAAAAAGACAGGAAAGAAAGAAAAGACAAAAATGGATGTCAGAAGAGACGCTGAAGCTTGCTTTTAAATGTTGAGTAGCTAAAGCGAAGAGAAGTGATGAAGTAAAAGCTGAAGAGATTTCAAAGGGTGGGTCGAGAAGACAAAGGAGAGTATTATGATGACATGTGCAAAGACCTGGAAGTTAGAAAACCAAAAGGGAAGAACACACTCGACATTTCTAAAGCTGAAAGAACTGAAGAAAAAATTCAAGCCTTGAGTTGCAATAGTGAAGGATTCTATGGGGGAAAATGTGAAATGACACAGGAAGCATCAAAAGAAGATGGAAGGAATACAGAGTCACTATGCCAAAAAGAATTGGTCAACGTTCAACCGTTTCATGAGGTAACATATGATTAGGAACTGATGGTACTGAAGGAAGAGGTCCAAGCTGCACTGAAGGCATTGGTGAAAAACAAGGCTCCAGGAACTGATGGAATACCAATTGAGATATTTCAACAAATGGATGTAGTGCTGCAAGTGATCACTCGTTTATGTCAAGAAATTTGGAAGACAGCTTCCTGGCCAACCAACCAGAAGAGATCCATATTTATGCCTATTCCAAAAAAAGGTGATCCACCAGAATGAGGAAATTATTGATCAATATCATTAATATCACACACAAGTAAAATTTTGCTGTAGATCATTCAAAAGCTTTTGCAGCAGTACATTGACAGGGAACTGCCAAAATTCAAGCTGGATTCAGAAGAGGACGTGGAACCAGAGATAGCATTGCTGATGTCAGATGGATCATGGCTGAAAGCAGAGAATACCAAAAGATGTTTACCTGTGTTTTATTGACTATGCAAAGGCTTTCAGCTGTGTGGATCATAACAAATTATGGATACCATTGTGAAGAACGGGAATTACAGAACACTTAATTGTGCTCATGAGGAACTTGTACATAGATTAAGAGGCAGTCGTTGGAACAGAACAAGGGGATACGGCATGGTTTAAAGTCAAGAAAGGTGTGCGTCAGGGTTGTATCTTTTCACCATACTTATTCAATCTGTATGCTAAGCAAGTAATCGGAGAAGCTGGACTATAGGAAAAAGAATGCAGCATCAGGATTGGAGGAAGACTCGTTAACAACCTGCGATATGTAGATGACACAACCTCGCTTGCTGAAAGTGAAGAGGACTTGAAGCACTTACTGATGAAGATCAAAGACTACAGCCTTCAGTATGGATTACACCCTAACATAAAGAAAACAAAAATCCTCACAGCTGGACCAATAAGCAACATTATGATAAATGGAGAAAACATCGAAGTTGTCAAGGATTTCATTTTACTTGGATCCACAGTCAACACCCATGGAAGCAGCAGTCAATAAAGCGAATGATGCATTGCATTGGGCAAATCTGCTGCAAAAGACCTCTTTAAAGTGTTAAAAAGCAAAGATGTCACCTTGAAGACTAAGGTGTGTCTGACCCAAGCCATGGTGTTTTCAATAACCTCATGTGAGTGTGAAAGCTAGACAATGAATAAGAAGACTGAAGATGAATTGATGCCTCTGAATTATGGCGTTGGTGGAGAATATTGAACATAACATGGACTACCAAAAGAATGAAGAAATCTGCTTGGAAGAAGTACAGCCAGAATATTCCTTAGAAGCAAGGATGGCGAGGCTTTGTCTCATATACTTTGGGCATGTTATCAGGAGGGATCAGTCCCTGGAGAAGGACATCATGCTTGGTAAAGTAGAGGGTCAGCAAAAAAGAGGAAAACCCTCAATGAGATGGATTGACACAGTGGCTGCAACAATGGACTCAAGCATAAAAATGATTGTGAAGATGATGCAGGAATGGCCAGTGTCTCGTTCTGTTGTATACAGCATCACTATGAGTCAGAACTGACTCGACGGCACATCACAACAACTGACCTAAAGGTTGGCAGTCCGAACTCACCCAGAAGCTCCACAGGAGAAGAACCTGGCAATCTGCTTTGGTAAAGCTTACAGCCAAGAAAACCTCTGGAGCAGGTGATGAGTATGTAGGGGGGGAAATAAAGCAGAGAAATGGGTAGAGAATGCCAGGGGCATAGGGGTATTATAATTATAAATAGGATGGTTGAGGAAGGTGTTACTGGAAAGATGACAATTGAGCAATGACCAGAATGAAGAGAAGGAGAGAGCCATGCTCCTCCAGGTCTTACCAAGAGGACCAAATGTAGAGTCCCTTCTAGCACAGTGCTTGTCACAGGGGTTCACCATAGGGGACCATATACTTTATCATCCAAACTGTATGCTTTTGAGAATGAAAGGAAACACCCTCAATAACTGCACCAGAACAACCGAAATAATGAGAACTGCCTGGCAAACTATGATGTATAGACATCATTTCTAGATAAACATTAGTTTCACCTTTTTTCTCTTTCTGAAAATACTAATTGTGCTGAGAGTGACTGACATGTAAATCGATGACTTCATTAAAGCATGATGAAGTGGAGAGGCAAAATTAAATTATGTACTAAGCCTGGTGGCCCCACAGAGAAGATGAGGGAGAATTTGGCAAGGCTTCACAATAAAGGTGGCATTGAAACGGAGATTTCTAAGAGTTTATTAATAACGACTTTCAGGTATGACCTCACTCCATGGGTCAGTGTACTATAGTTTAAAAAGAAACATTTGAAGACTGGAAAAACCTTTAAGATGCACAAGAATCAATGGTGGTATTTCTGCCTGTCAGACCAGTAGGAGTGAAGTTTGAGAATAGTATGACCTTCCTAAAAAAAAGAAAAGAAAAGAAAAATAAACCTATTGCCGTCGAGTTAATTCTGACTGATAGTGAGCCTGTAGGAAAGACTAGAACTGCCCCATTGGGTTTCCAAGGATTGGCTACTGGATTCAAACTGCCGACCTTTTGGTTAGCAACAGAATGCTTAACCACTGAACCATCAGGGCCCCATGACCTTCGTAGGGGGCCTCAAATCATAACTGGTAGGAGATGCCATCTTTGTTACTCAGATGGGTGACATTGTAGCTGATTGATACAGAGTATCATTGAAGAAGAGTTTCTTGACCCTCCTGTCCTGACTCTATTCACAGCAGCACCACACAGCTGGCCAGTGTTGAGTTGCATGTGGCAGTGATTCTCTATTCTTTCCCTGAAAACATGTCCCTGGCCTGGCTCACTCTGAATTGGGTTGCTCTAGGATTTTTTGTTTGTATATTGTGTTTTTGGTTTATTTATTTGGTTGGCTGGCTGGCTTTGTCCTTAAGTCTGTTGTCTCATATTTGCCCTTCTTGAATTTCATTGAATGTTTTGTAGATACTTTTTTTTTTCAATATGTCAAATCACTTTGAGTTTTATTCCATTTCAAGTTTTCTGAATAAGCCTTTAAATGTACAACTAGGTTTTCTTCCCCCCCGCCCTTGGCAAAAATCAAATTGACCAGGAAATACTAGCTTTAAGTGACAGCTTTAATTTCCTGTCTTTGGTATAATTTGGTGGGTTAAGCTTAAAAAAGGCACCTCCTGTCTTCAAAGGAAGTTTGGATAATCTCTGGTCACATGGCTAAAGGGGCAGAAGTCTTCTAGGACAATGCTTTTGTATCTCCCTAACACCTGGTGTTCTCTTTTATTGAAGGTTGTTTTAAAGATAGAATGTAGTTAGGAAGAGTGTGGATTCTTAGGACTTTTGATGATGTTTTTCCGATGACAGACACTGAGAAGGTGATATTATTGTCTTAAAGACCCCAGGAGTACCCATCTTTATAATAGGTGGATATTGTTGAGGAATATAAGAAAACCATCTAATTGAGGGAATCCGGAGATAAACATCTCTGAACTGGGGTAATGGTTGCCTTTGCAGGCCAGCTCTGTCCATTCTCCTAAAAACCAGCAGCTCCTTAAGAGTAGTGGATAACTGTGGTGATGTGAAGCCATGAGCCAAAAGCAAAAGAACGGCTTCTTGAGGTGAAAAAGTTTCTTAGTATTCTGCCAGTGGACAGGTTTCTGTCTTTACTGTATTCTAGAGCTTCAGGAAGTCAAGGCTACTGAGAAATGGTCCCAAGAACAGAAAGTGAATCCTAAACCTGCCTGTTTCAGGTTGAAGTGGACAAGTTGTTGTTAGTTGCTGTCCAATTGATTCCAACTCATGGAGACCCCATGTGTGCAGAGTAGAGCTGCTCCATAGTGTTTTGGACCTTTTGGAAGCAGATCGCCGGGCCTGTCTGGGTTTGAGGTGCCTCTAGGTGGGTTTCAACTGTCAACCTCTTTGCTATTAGTCGAGTGCTTAACCATTTGTGCTACCCAGAGACTCCCAGAAGAGAGAAAATTAAAGCCTTTGGCAGAATTAATCAATCAACAAGCATTTATTAGGAGGCAGACAGATGCTTGATACTGTAATGAGGTCTGTAGGTGTAGCACTAAGAAAAGTACACAATATAATCCTTTCCCCTTAGAGGGAACAAAAAAAAAAAAAAAAAAACCAGAGTGCATGCTAACGCATGGTTACCCATGTGTTGTAGATTAGAACTGAGCTCCATAGGGTTTTCTTGGCTGTAATCCTTACAGAAGCAGATCACCAGGCTTTTGTTTCATGGAGCCACTGGGTGGGTTCGAACCATCAACTTTTCGTTAGTAGTCGAGTGCAAACCATTGGTACTACCCAGGGACCTTTTTCTCCTTAAAGACCCCACTATTTATTTGGCATATTGGTCTCCTGGGGTCCCCTGATTTCAAAGTTCTTCCTGCCTTTTCTCGTTCCTTCCTTCCCTCCTTCCTGTCTTCTCCCTCTCTCCTTCCCTCCTTTTCTTCCTTTCTTCATCACTGCACAGAAGGGCTACTGCAGGGTTATGTGAACATGCATATTCAGTTTCTCTGAATGCTGCCCATTTGCTCTTGTCCTCTTTCCCTTGGTTCTTATCATTAAGAGCTGATCTAAGGTCCGTTGGCTAAGACATTGTTGCCTTCTTAGCTGAGCACTAGCCTTTCTCCACAGGCCTGGGCTCTATGCCCCTCATTGAAATGAAGGGTCATGAGGACGGCGGCATCCGGCTAGAGTGCACATCTGTAGGGTGGTTCCCACGGCCCCATGCGGTGTGGAGGGGCCCTGTCGGTGAGGTCATGCCCACCCTGGAGGAGGCTTACACTGTGGAAGACGACGGCCTCTTCATGGTCACCATGACTGTGATCATTAGAAACTACTACTCTGTGAGGAACGTGTCCTGCTCTGTCACCAACACCCTGCTCGGCCAGGAGAAGGAAACTGTGATGTTCATTCCAGGTTAGTTCCCTGTCCTCTGGAGACTCATCATGTGGAGCCAGGAACTTCAGTAGACAGATCAGAACCCTGAGTGGGGATGGAAGCGTGGGAGTTTGGGGTGCAACTGAGCTGATGGCTCTCCCCTTGTCACAAGGGGGAAACAAATATCCTCTAAATACATGAGGGCAAATCTGATCCTTTTTTACCTGTTATGGTCCTGCAGCAATTTTCAAACACTAAGAACAATCATATAAAGAGTGATTTGGGTGGATGGCTATCTGCAGGATCCTTTGACCTTGGGTGCTGCCTGCTGAAGCACTCCATTCCTGCTCATGGGATTTCCCAAGTGACAGAGCTAGGAAGATTCCCTATCAACAAATATTCATAAATTCAATCAACAAATACTTAACAAGTATGCCCTATGTTCAAGGAGCTATTCTAGAAACCAAGGCTAAATCAGTGAACAAAATAAATGAAGATTCCTGCCCTCATAGAGCTTACATTCTAGAGGGAACAGAGAGCAATAAGTGAAATAATTAAGTGAAATGTATACTGTATCAGATGGTGATGAGTATTGCAGAAAAAATAAAGCTGAGGAGGGGGTAGGATGTGCCAGCGGCACTGGGGCATTGTAATTATAAATAGGGTGGTCAGAGAAGGCTTCACTGAAAAGATAACAGTGGAGCAAAGACCAAAATAAAATGAGGGAGTGCGCCAAGCAGATATCTGAGGACTGAGCAACCCAGGTAGAGGGAAGAGCATATGCAAAGGGGCGGAGGCTGGTGTGTGTCTGGCAACTTCAAGGAATGCCAAGAGGCTGGTGTGGCTTGAGTAGGGTAGGTGGAGGGTGAGTTGGAGGAGATGATTTCAGAGAGGCAGTGGGGCCAGATCGTACGGGCTGTGTAGGACACAACCTGTTAGTATGTAGTACTGTGGTGGCTTGCACGTTGCTATGATGCTGAAAGCTATGCCACTGGTATTTCAAATACCAGCAGGGTTACAAACAATGGACACATTTAGCAGAGCTTCCAGACTAATACAGGCTAAGAAGAAAGGTCTAGTGATCTACTTCTGGAAATTGGCAAATGAAAACTGTATGGATCACATAGAATATTATCTGATGGTAGTGCTAGAAGGTGAGCCCCTTAGGTTGGAAGGCACTCAGAGTACACAGTGGCCACAACAATGGATTCGAGCATACCAATGATCATGAGGATGGTGCAGGATGAGGCTAGTATTTCATTCTGTTGTACATGGGGTCACCATAAGTTGAAGCCGACTCAATGGTGGCTAACAACAACCACACCAGGCCACAAATAGACTTTGGCTCTTACTCTAAGTGAGATGGGAAGTCATTGGAGGGTTTTGAGCACAGAAATAACATGATCTCACTCAGACTTCTCTGTTGAGAATAGGCTGCAGAGGGTAAAGACAGAAGCAGGGAGGAGGGCATTGCAAGATTCCAGGTAAGATGAGATGGAGGCTTATACCCGGGTGGTGGCTGTGGGATTCAGCATGGCTGGTTTGCTTTTACTCACTGTGGTCTTTCCCAGGTGTTTCTGCTTTCCTTCCTTCTGGGCCCCAGCCTGGGCAATGCTTATGGGGTCAGCCATCACAGAGCAATAATCTTTCTCTATCTGGAGTTTCTGAGGGAGAAGCCAACAGAGAAGGAACTTGAGTGGGCTCTTCCGATGTGTGCCCTGAGGGGTGCTTTTACCCTGGGCCTCCATTTTCTTACTGAATGGGACTGTCCTGGACCCCTTTCAGCACCTGTTATTCCAAGCACCTCTCACTGGATGGTGGTCCTGGCTGCCACCCTGCCTACACTGATCCTTCTCATCCTCATCGCTGGGGCCATCTGTCTCCTCTGTCTCATCAGGAAACTCCACAGGGAAAAAGAGGTTCTGTCAATGGAAAAAGAGGATGAACAGGAAGAGACAGAAATTATAGGTAAGGAATTGGGGAAAGAAGGTGTGGAAAAAGAGAAAAACATCACATAAAATGTAAAAGAGGACAGCTCACTGTCATACAAAGGCCACAGCTCTGACAGGAAGAGGCATGGAGAGCAGAGAGGAAAGGAAGAGAGACAGCAGCCAGGTGGTTGGAACACTTACGTCCTTGTAACTAATCCCTCAGTGCTTTCTTTCTTCCATTCTGCAAACATTGCATTCATTCATTTGGCTATATGCAGCGCTATATGTTGAACAAGACAAGCCTAAAAAAGTGCTGATAATATCCAGCCACCTGATCACATAGCATTTCTGGTTTTTTGATAATTTCTTAGTCATGGGGTGGAGGTAGGGATTGTTCATAGAAAAGGCCATTCTTCTATTGTTCAGTACAAACCCAAAGTTCTTTGTTCTTCTATTGAAGACATTAATTTGTTTTGTTTCTTTTTCAGAGCAACTTCAAGAAGAATTACGTAAGTTTAGCATTTCCTGAGCTACTCCATGCATGGCCTGTATTCTGCTTGGTTAGGCTTTATCTTATGATGTTCACCTCTCTGTCCCAATACAGGATGGAGAAGAACCCTCTTACATGCTGGTGAGTGTCTCTGATGTTCCCTCAGATCCTCCCCACTAACTAGCCAACAAGACACGTTAGAGGAGATGTACAAGGGGCCCCAAGGCTGGCTCACCAGCAGAGGGCTGGGGTCATTTCACCACAATGTCTCATACAACCCTGGATCCTGGCTCTTCTGTCAGGGAATTCCAGCAGCTCCTAGTCTGCGATACAGCTTACTTCCCATGATCCTTTCTTTTTCGAATAATCCATGATTATCAGAGGTCTACTATACATAGTGGACATCCCCAAGAGTACCACTGCAGGAGTTTTTGCCCTTTGGTTCTGGGAATAATTTGAAAGAAGATAATACTCACTTAGCTGTTTAGAACCTAGGAGATGGTATAATCTGTGCACAGTTTAAGAGCTACGTGGGGAAAGATAATAAGCTTCCCTAAGCTTGTCTCAAGGGTGTACAAATAGGTGACCAGAAATGCCATCCTTTTCCCAAGAGAACACTGACAATCTGTGTATAGAGTGTAAGGGGAGGGGAGTTGGGAGAGGGGGAAAACACAGAAACCAGAGAGAGAAGATACTCAGCTTCTCACTGCATACTCCTGGTAAGTGCTTTACATCTTAGGATTTTGCACCTTCTGCCCATAAGCACCAAAGAAGCCAGGCTTTACCAGACACCATGATAACTGGACCTTTCCCCTTTGTCTAGATTAATTTCAAAACTATAGTGATCAGACATATCAGCTCAAGGAAAGGAAAAATTATTTACACACAATCAAAACCTAGATATTATATATATATATACACACACATATATATACACATATGTGTATATCTCTCTATATACATATATATATGTAATAATAAATGTAGATGGAAGGGGTCTAAAGTGTTCCCTAAACACAGGGGAGTCAGCTGTAGACTTCAGACTTAGATTGTTAAAGCAAAACAGGATGGAAATATCCACACCTCCCGCCCCCGCTCCACGCATACATGTAACTTTTGCCACATACACCTTGCAGGCAACAGGTTGACTTTTGGGGACATTTACCTTCCTTCTTTACACTTTGAAGGGTCAATCATTTAAATCAGTTGTCACCTGGTTATGCAATGATGGAGCACAGGGAACTAGTGAAGGGACTTGACTTGCCCTTACACTGCTCAGGACTGTGCATCTACAAATTCGCCTTAATTGCTTTCTGAGGGGATGTTGTATAGCTTCTGTGGAGTGAGAAATGGGGCTTAATTGCTTCATGGAAGGGTTACAGCCTCTTTTCTGGTTTATGCTAAGTTGGGAAGTTTCTAACTAGAGAGTTATAGAGACCAAATTTCTTCAATAGAAAAAGAGGCAAATCTGAGAAAGTGGGAACCATCATTTCAGCTCATTTAATAAAATTTCTGGATGTCTTAGAGCCCCAACTCTTCTCTCCCCGAGGGCAATGTTCCTGTAGCTCCAGGGATAGAAGTGCAGCCTCAGGAATTCTGAGTCAGTGAGGTGCCTGGGGTCAGGGCTTTCATGGAAAAGGCTGCCACACCAGGGATCCCCACCAACTTTTTGGGACCCCTTTGTGGACCAGGAATGACGCAGTCTCCGGGAATCCTGAGTCCCCAGACTAAATTTGAAACTTCCTCTGCAGCTGATGTGGTCCTGGACCCCGATACCGCTCACCCCGAGCTCTTCCTGTCTCAAGACTGGAGAAGCGTGATACGGGGCCCCTCCCGGCAGAGCGTTCCTGACAACCCAGAAAGATTTGACTGTCGGCCTTGTGTTCTGGGCCGGGAGAGCTTCAACTCAGGGAAGCATTACTGGGAGGTGGAGATGGAAAATGTGATGGTGTGGGCTGTGGGGGTTTGTAGAGACAGCGTTGAAAGGAAAGGGGAAGCTCTGCTGGTTCCTCATAATGGTTTCTGGGCCCTGGAGATGTTTGGAAACCAATACCGGGCCCTGTCCTCCCCCGAGACCATCATCCCCCTGAAAGAGCGCCTTCACCGAGTGGGCATTTTCGTGGACTATGAAGCTGGAGATGTCTCCTTCTACAACATGAGGGACAGATCTCACATCTATACATATCCCCGGTCAACCTTTTCTGGGCCCCTAAGGCCCTTTTTCAGGCTGGGGTCTGATGACAGCCCCCTTGTCATCTGCCCAGTTTTCACAGGGGCCCAGGGGGTCACAGTGCCTAAGAGTGGCCTGATCCTTCACAGAGCAAGGGCCCACCGCCACCACCAGGATATATTCCTTGGTCTCAGAGCCATGTAGCCATTCCCTGGCTGTTTAGTTATTACAGCACAGCGCCCCAGGTAGAAACAGACTCTTGTTTCCTCTGTTTCACATAAGAGAACCTCCCTCCACTGCCCACTTGACATCTGATTCAGGCCTCAACCCCACCTCTCCCCCTTATTAGGCTGTTGCTCTTAGTGGCTCTTTTACTGGTAACCATGAGGCACGGTCCAGTCTCAGGGAAGCTTGTGCTGCCACAGGACTTTTAGCAGAGGAGAAAAGTTTGCTAAGTAAGATGACAGACTGAAAACCTGCTGCTTTAACATCAGGATGGCATGTTCAACCTGATGCTTGAGTTGCCACCAGATGACGTAGTCTTGGGGGTGAGGGAACAGAACTCACCAGGATATAATAGGGAGGAAGGAACTACACGACCTCCTGAGCGGAAGGGGAAACCACAAATGGAGGTCAGAGATAGAGGAAGAGGGACCACAGAGCTGGGAGGGGGCCAAGGTTGTGAGGTGGTTACAATCCCGCCATGACAGTAAGAGGTTCCCTAGAGCTGATAGCCCATTTCCACCCCACCCCCAAGATTTCCAGACCACACGGTAAAACTCCCCAGGCCTAGAACTTGGATGAAGAAGGAGGAAGGAGGACACATCTGGATCTGACCTGACTCAGGGATCCCAGCATAAATAAATGAGTCATACTCAGTCTTTGAGTGTGGCTCGAGGTCAAAGGTCCCAGCTGAGCAGGTGAGTATGGAACCACGTTGATCATAGGGTTCAAGTTCAGTGGAGAGAGCAGCAGTTCGGGTTTCAGGATACCTTTACACACTTAAAACTTTTAAATCAAAAATTATTGAGGGCCCCAAAGAGCTTTTGTTTATTTGGGTTCTGTCTGTCAATGTTGACTTCATTAGAGATTAAAAATGAGAAATTTTTAAAATATATTTATTAATTTATATTAAAACAACAGCAATAAACCAGGCTTATGGGTTAATATAAATAATAGGGTTTATGAAAAATAAAACAATAAATTTTGGTGAGAAATGTGACATTGCTGGTTTTTTTTAATGTTTTTGCAAATCTAATGTCTGGCTTAGGAGAAGACGGCTGGATTCTCATATCTGCTTTTGCATTCAATCTTTTGTGATATCAAAGATTGTGTACACTCTAAGAAACTTCACTGTATACTCGTGAGAGAATGAGAGTGAATGACAAATAATGTCATTGGAGGAGTCCCAGATTCACCCAAGGGCACCTCGGAAGACAGACCTGGCAATCTGCTTCTGAAAGGTCACAGCTTTGAAAACGCTATGGAGCAGGCTGCACATGTGTGACCACCGTAAGTCAGAATTCACTGGAGGGAAAATAAGATCAGCATTATCATGAAAATGGTTTTGACCCCATGGATTCCTGGACTGGTAGCTACAGACGGTGTTTTGACTTCCTGGGATGGGTGCTGCAGATAGTGAGTCAGAGTTCTATTTTTATATAATCTGTCCATTGTTGGTATTTTTCACTTAGTCACTCACCTGTGAGACAGATATTTTTATCCCCAGGGGTCCCCACATCACATTTGGAGAACCAGGATAGAGGATCCTGGAATTAAATCAGACATCAAAATCATGCTTAAATGGTAATGTATCGGATTTAAGATAATTCAGTGATCCAAGTTTAAAATCGAGCTGCAAAAGATTTTTAAGTCCAAACTGTTATCACTGCAGTTACAAATGGACACCGTCTGAAAAAAATCAGGTATATGTGCAAATAGCTGATTTGTTAAGATGGCAGACTATGGATTGTTTATATGTATGTGTGTGTGTTGTTTTTATTCTTGTTACTGTTGCTATAATATTACTTGTACAGTTTTGTTTTAACTAAAAGTACTAGACTGAGTCAGGAAAGAAGTCCTGGTACTAGCTGGTTATAGTAATCTTATCAAGTCACAGCTTTTCAGTGGTTCAGTTTTCTATAAAATAAGCCTTTAAAGTAAGTTCATGTGGCTTTTATTATAGTTTACAAAGCACTTTCACGTACACTATATCCTTGATTTCTCACAGCAACCCTGTGTGGAAATACGAAAAAAGAAAAAACACCCAAATAAGAACCAAGGCTATTTTTTCAGAGTATGCTATAGCAAGGAAGTCAGCCACCTTCACTTTCATTTGGCAGAGACTCAAAAGCAGGCAGGGGAGTGGGAAAGCTCAGTGTCCAGACCACACAGTAAAACCAGGGGATGTAGGGGGTTCAAACCACACTGGGTAACACTGTCAGAGGAGGTGACACCAAAATGATTGTCTATAAAATTTTTGTGCAGTTTCAGTAGAAATTTATTATTTCTTATTAAAAATATCCCTGTAGTTAGTTATAACAACAAAAACATTTTTCACAAGCCTAGCTTACATGTATCAATATACCGGAAAAAAAAAAACCCATTGTTGTCTAGTTGATTGCTACTTACAGCGACCTGTAGGACAGAGTAGAACTATCCCATAGTGTTTCCAAGGAGCAGCTGGTAGATTGGAACTGCTGACCTTTTGTTAACAGCCAAGCTCTTAACCACTGCGCCACCAGGGCTCCATATACCTACAAAGCTAAAACTCTATGCTAATTTACTTTTTGAACCTTCTAATGCAGAGTCGTCAGTATTACCAATTACAGTGACTCTTCAAATTGCAAGGTTTCCTCTGCACTCATTACAAGCACGTGCTGTTGTTTTCATTGCTACCTGTGTTTTTACAGTCACTGATTTTGTCAAATTTTCTGGTGTTTTAGCTACAATATTGCGGTAATTAGTATTTGTGAACCTGGTTCAGGAGTAGGTCCATGGTGGCACTGGGTGACACCAACCCTAGTGATACCATTGGAAAGCTTTATAGTGGAAAAGGGACCTTCAGGTGTGCCCTGTTTGGAGGTTGTTGGCATGAGGAAGCTGTAGGTGGGCTAACTAGAAGTGGGGCATCCTATGTGATTGGTTGTTGTTAGGTGTCGTTGAGTCAGTTCCGACTCATAACAACCCTATGTACAACAAAATAAAACACTGCCCATTCCTGCACCATCCTCACAATTGTTGCTATGTTTGAGACCATTGTTGCAGTCACTATGTCCATCCATCGTGTCGAGGGTCGTCCTCTTTTTCCCTGATTGTCTACTTTATCAAGCATGATGTCCTTCTCCGGGGACTGGGCCTTCCTGATACCATGTCCAAAGTGCGTGAGATGAAGTCTCTCCATCCTCACTTCCTTGTAGGCGTACGGATTTTGTCCTGTCACTGACAGCATTGTACTTCAGGATAGATCTTAAAATGTTCTTTTTGACAATGAATGCGAAACTGTTCCTCTTCATTTTGTCATTCTGGCATAATAGACCATATGATTGTCCAATTCAAAATGACCAAATACTAGTCCATTTTAGCTTACATTTTATTTTTGACAGCTTCCAATTTTCCTTGATTCATACTTCCTACTTTCCACATTCTGATTACAAATGGATGTTTGCAGCTGCTTTTTTCTCATTTTGAGTTGTGCCACATCAGCAAAGGAAGATCCTGAAAGCTTTATTCCACCCACGTCATTAAAGTCGACTCTACTTTGAGGAGGCAACTCTTCCCCAGTTGTATTTTGAGTGACTTCCAGCCTGAGGGGCTCATCTTCCAGCACTATATCCGACAATGTCCCAATGCTATCCACAAAGTTTTCACTGGTTAATTTTTTTTCAGAAGTAGATCACCAGGTGGCTAACAGACACATAAAAAAATGTGCACGATCATTAGCCGTTAGAGAAATGCAAATCAAAACTACAATGAGATACCATTTCACTCCAACAATGCTAGCATTAACCCAAAAAACACAAAATAATAAATGTTGGAGAGGTTGTGGAGAGACTGGAACACTTATACATGGTTGGTGGGAATGTAAAATGGTACAACCACTTTGGAAATCCATTTGGCGCTTCCTTAAAAAGCTAGAAATAGAAGTACCTGCTCCTTGGAACATATCCTAGAGAAATAAGAGCCATCACACAAATAGATATATGCACACCATGTTCATTTCAGCACTGTTCATGATAGCCAAAAGATAGAAACAACCTAAGTGCCCATCAACAGAAGAATGGATAAACAAGTTATGGTACATTCACACAGTGGAATACTATGCAACAATAAAGAACAATGATAAATCCATGAAACATAATATGGTGGAATCTGGAAGGCATTATGCTGAGTGAATTTAGTCAGTCACAAAAGGACGTGTTGTATAAGACCGCTATTATAAGAACTCAAGAAAAGGTTTAAAACACAGAAGAAAACATTCTTTGATGGTTACTGTGGTGGGGAGGGAGAGGGTTATTCACTAACTAGATAGTAGACAAGAATTATCTTAGGTGAAGGGAAGGACAGCATACACTACAGGGGAAGTCAGCATAGCTGGACTAAACCAAAGCTAAGATGTTTCCTGAATACAACCAACACTTTGAGGGACAGAGTAGCAGGGGCAGGAGTTTGGGGACTGAAAGAGGCTGCATGGAAATTTCACATTTATTGTTTATTGCCAGCAGTATAGGCCTAGTTTCCTGGGTATTGTGGTATTGTTAATGCCTAGCTTGCATAGTTCACTTTTACATGTTCCTAGGATTTTGATTTATTTTCTTCCTATCCTCCCTCTTGCTTTCCCATGATATTTTCTTTTTAGTTAGTCTTTCTCCCTCCTCCTATTCCAGTAAGATTAACTAAAGTTTCTTCTTGGAGGGTGGCAGAACAAATTGATAACCCTCAAGGACTAGGATTAACTCATCTGTGACATGACAATACCGGTGTCAGATGACCTTGAAGGATTGCCAGTAAGAAGTTAGATCATCTGAGTGGTGCAGAATGTAACTACCAGAAGAGAAACTATAATCTTGTCCATATAAAAACTTTCAGTGAGTCTCCAGTGGGGGAGATAGGTCTTTTGGAGGAGCTCATTCCCCTCTGTCTCCTGTATATTGATATACACTAAAATACTCTTGCTACTCACCTCACCCTGTCTCAGTACTGGCTTCTGTGGCAGGTGGCTCAGACCCACCATTGCAGTAACA